ATTTGTATTGTTACCTTTCTTATTTGTATTGAAAATTTTATTACTTGCATTTAATAATTTTTCATTTGTATTGTATCTGAGGATTGTATATTTATTTCGTTAAGAAGTAATACATGTATTTTTGTGGTAACACGGGCAACTTTGCAAAAATGAAATGGAAACCACGTAACCAAAGTTTTATCAAAGTGAAACTTTAAAGGCGAATCACTTCGTTATTTTTAAGACGGACATTTTTAAAGTTTGGATACCAGCAGAAGATTAGTCATATTCAAAATTACACTTTCAAAATGTTTTTCAGTCAGCATCTTCATTTTGTCATATATAGCATAAATGTTGACACCATTTAAAAACTTTGTTTCCTAGGAAGATTATTTTCTGTTTATCTTCTTTTTTCCCTTATTATCATTGAGATTTCTGTTGAGAGATAATGACTTTTCAAGAGAAATCTTACATTTTTTTATATTGTTAAAATGGCCTAACAATGAGTATGAAAAACGCATTAACTTAGCGAGACACCCTGAAGCACAAAGGGGAAAATTAACACATGTGGAATTTTTGCACGCCCCATACGTAAATTTTGTTCAATTCCTGAATGTACAAAGGTTTCAGAAAATTACAGGTTTCAGAACATAAAAGCAAACTACTTTTCTGCAGATAAGAATAAGTAAAATAATATCAGTATGTCTCATCACGAAAATATTGCTTTTACTCTTCCTCCCTATTCTACATGGCGAAGAAAAGATTAGTAAATTACTATGGTTACCATTGTCTCAAGTACCTACGAATGAATGTAGGTAGGCCAAGAATTTGGATACATTCTTTTAAAAAAAAGTTGTCACCTTTACATGCTCCAGTTGAATGTTGTTAACAATTTTGAACTAAAAACAAAAGTGGCGTAACCTTGACATACACCAAAATAGTTACTGTAAATACAACCTTTGTTTTTCCGGCACTTATATTCTGCAATCTTTTCTTATTTTACAGCGCAGCGTAGTTGTCATAGCTTCACTATTTGATCTTCTTCATTCTTTCACTGTCTGATACAGATATCTTAAAAGAAACACATGATGTTGACTCATTATGTAACTTTCATGATCGATACATGTAGAGCAGTTTCTCCATTACATCAGATAAAGAACGGAATGTTAAAAAACGTTCTTAATTTGAATTCAATGTTTATGAAGGTCATGTAAAATATTATTATATTTCTTTTTATTCACTGTCTATCAGAAAAGATTTTAAGAAAAAATTGGTGGCAAAGAAAATAATCTAATTCTTAAAAATATCTTTCTTGACGTATTTCTATTAATCATGTCGAGAAAAGATGTTAAATATGGTTAATTTTCATTTTGACAATATCCCTTATGTATTTTGTCCAGCATCGTTATTCGTTAAGCAAGGGTTCAGGTATTTGGTGCATGAATACAAATAAAATTCAAAACAGATATGTTTCTTTTAATTTGCAATGAGAAAGGATTGGTTCTCATAATCACTATTGTAGTTTATCTCTAGCAGAAATAATGTATGACACCTATATTGTTTTAAAAAAAAGCATAAATTATTAATTGTTAAAAACTCATCCAACAGTTAATAATCACAACTGTTGTCAACCCAACAGTTGATAATCACAAGCCAAGCAAGATATGTGTTAAAGTTGGAGAATGTTATCTCATCTCGTAAAAATACCACTTTTATATGCTTGTTTAGAATTCCAAGTTTTTTACGGATATGCAGGTAAGTTCATTTTGTTTTGAAATGTATAAATGAAAAGTAATTTCGAAAAGATGAAATATTTTAAAGAATGAAAAAATGATAAAATAAATGATTTTTCATTAGTGTTAAAATTTACAGTGATTACGGACTAGTGACAATTATTGTCTCTTGGTTTGGGGTTATCACTGATATATAATTACTGTTTATTGCTTGAATTTAATTTGTCCGGCAATCCTAAAAAAAGAGGTCTATGGGCTACATCGCTCACCTGAGTATATTGACTAGAAAAAGGCATAAATCAGTTAAGTATTGAAAAGTATAGCTTGAATTTTTAACTACCGGTATTTGAGAATACTTCCATATCAAAAACAATGTCTTTACAGATTTTCCCCCTATATATTTCTATGTAAAAATGTCATCCCCATTGTGGCCCCTCCCTCTCACCCTACCTCTGGAATAATGATTTGCACAAATGTGAATCTACACTACCTAATGATGCTTCCATAACTAAATTATGGCCTTTCCATAAAAGAGGATTTTCCTATAGATTCCTTCAAAAACATTTTAATCGTTTATTGCGATCAAGCTCTGCTCCCCACCCACCTTCACCCTCCCCACCTACCCTAACCACACCCCGGTTATGTTAAGAACAAACTTGACAAACTTGATTCTAAACTACATGAGGAAACTTCTATTTAAATATGACCAAACATGGCTTTGCTGTTCTCCAAAAGAAAATCTTTAAAGATTTTTCATCTATATTTCTATGTTAAACTTTAAATTTACGCTGTTATCCAACCCAGGGGGTCATGATTTGAACAAACTTGGTTATACACTAATTGAGGATGCTTCCACATAAGTTTTATTTTTCCTGACCCAGATAGTCTTTAGAAGAAGATTTTTTGTAAAAAAAAAACTTTTCCTAGATATGTTCGTAAGTAAAACTTTGATTTTCCGTTGTGCCCTATCCTCGGGGGTCATGATTTTAACAAACTTGAATCTACTTAATTCTACATTGCCTGAGGGTGTTTCCACATAGGTTTTATCTTTCCTGGTCAAGAGGTCCGTGAGAATAAGATTTTACCTATACATCCCTATGTAAAGCTTTGATTTTTCATTATGGCCCCGCCCTACTCTAAGGGCTCATGATTTGAATAAACTTGATTCTACACTACCCGAGGATGCTTCCGCAAAGGTTTTATCTTTCATTGCCCAGAGCTTCTTGAGAAGACGATTCTTTAAGATTTTTCCAATGTATTCCTATGTAAAACTTTAATTTCACTAAAAAAAAAAATGAAATTTGTTGTGATTTAGGGAAAAAAGTCAAAGATAATCAAGTTATACTGCAAATAACCTGGGTAGGTACAGTTTACAATCTATAAACCGTTTATAAAATAAGACGTAAACTGTGCCAGCCCAGGTTATACCAGCAAAATCTAGGTGTAGATATAAAAACATTTTATCTTCAAAAACATCCTCAAATTGAACATATTCTAAAATTAACGTCAAGCACTAAATCATTGACGTAAGCTATTGTGTCGTCGGCAACATATGTTATACGATATAAACTTTTAACCAATCAAATGACGTGCTTAAAACTACATTATTTATTGCTGCCACAAGGTGAAAAAAATCTTTTTAAAAAATCTAGAAATTTACAAATATATTTTTGAAGATGTATACACCCCTTTGGGGGATATAATAAGTTTTACAATCTATCTGTGCAAAATTTGAAAATAAATAAAATATAATGTTCACCCGGTATGCAAATAACGTTTCTAGCTATTGCTTAAAAAGTATATTAAAAAACGTTTCTAACTATTGCTTAAAAAGTATATTTAAAAAAACTTTGAATATGTTATCCCAATAGTAGCTTATGTTTTCCGGATTTTTTTTTTATATAGGTAACATGCATACAACTATTCGTTAGTTTTCCTTTTATGACGTCATAAACTTTTTATTTACAGTTTTAATAAAATTTCGAAAGGTTTCAACCAGGCTAGAACTCACAGAACCGTCGCTTGCTCTATGGACAGGAGCCACAGACAGCAGGATGCACTGTTGTTTGATTTGTACAACAGAGAACCAGTGCATTTCTGTATTATACGATAAAAGGAGTCGGACATGTCAGCTTTTTAATTTTCATCTCTACTGGGATCAACTTGGAGACGAAAAAGAAACTGAATATCATATCATGGACAATGCAAGCAACAGAAGACGTGAGTATATTTTTTTCAGGATCGTTGTTTGTACAGGTAGAAATTCTCATAACAACAGCTGGCTTAAATATTGTACGTATGTGTACATAAATTGACATATCAATTTAACTACTGTATGGGTACATAAATTGAAATATCAACCTAATGTTTTATATGAACAGTTTCTCTGGTTATTTGTACACTTAATAAGTTGGTTAAAACAGTGGATTCTAATGGAATGGGTTTACTTGAAAAATTAATGAGTTTTAAGCTAGGATTTAATTGTTAAATTCCAGTGATTTCTTCATGAAATACAACCTATTCCCTCCACAACCCATAAACAATTACATTTTTGCATGTTAGATGAAAGGTTCAATGCTGTTCAAATTAGTTAATAAAAAAATGGAGATAACTCAAAAGACCATTAATGTATTATTATTGACCATGCTGACTCTATTCTTTGATGTTTTCTACATATTTATTACGATTTATGGCTGAATAATTTTTGAATAGGTTTCAATTGGATGATGACTGAAATCAATATTTCTAATTATCTACCCAAAATATGACAGGGATATCTTTTGAAGTATAAGGAAACAAGATCTTAAATGTAAATTTTTAATCAGCAATTTAATGAATCGTTTCCGAAGCAAAGTGGTGTGGTGACCAAAAGCACTTTGGTTTGAAACGTTCTGCAAATACTTTCTAATTTTTTTCTTTGTGAAATTTAAATCAGGAAGGATTATACACGTCAGATTCAAATTATATAAAGATGATGATCATCAGGATAATGATAATAATCATTATCATCATCAATACTATATTTAACATCATCATCATAATCAACATTATCATCAACATAATCATCATTATCAAGATAATTACAACCCTCATCAACATCATCGTCATCACCTTCACCATCATAAACAACAACATCATTATCATTATCATCATCATCATCATCATCAACATCAAGAACATAATCATCACATCATCAACATCATGACATCGTTTGATTTATTATTTTTGTTTTTTTGATTGTGGTTTTTAAGATATAATATGTAATTGTATATTTCTGAAGTACCCCAGTCGTGTTCCGACATCGCTCGATGCACTGTGACGACGAAGGATGGTGAATATTGGTTGTATCCTACAGTAACAAATGGAAAGAGGGTGAAGATTTATTGTCATGACATGCAGAGAGGTCCGAAGGAGTATGTCACTCTGAAGTATGAAAACTCCTTTGTTCAACACGACGATTCAAATTGGTTAAGTAAATACGAACGATGCACATCTACATTTACGCCTCCACTAAAGAAAGCAGATTTTTTGAAAGTGGCCATTAACATAGAGGTAACAGTACATACGGATTTATTTTCGTCTGATGTGGCCTTTTGCAATTACAATCATTTTTAAGTCAATTTTAGTTTTGTCCAGGCAAAGTTGAATGTAAAATTATACCATCTTCCTTGAAATCGGCCTACTTAAAATTCGCCCAACTGTGCTTGAGACAAAAGGGCAAAATAAAACGGGGACAAAATCTCCTTTAAAACAACAATTCCATCAACTAAATTTACTGAAAGGAAAAAGAAACGCAGGGTAAACGTTTGAGGTGAATTAAATTCATTTTTCTTTTAATTTTTTGTCAGAATTCCTATCTAACTTTTAAATTCATCTTTCAAATAGATATAACCAAAATCCCATTTGATTTTGTTCATTAATTAATGTTATTGAAGTTCATATGACGATACCTCCCAAAAGTGAAAATCGAAAACTCTCAATGTCTTCAATGTCTCCCCGCGCATCTTTCATGAGCCTTATTTCTTCTTTGCATGGAATTCATTACAGTGTTTATTTTTCAATCCCTGGCTATATTGGACTTGGGTAACTAGCAAAAAAATTAGACATACGACGTGCGCATGTGCCAGTGAGAGGAACAAAACAGTAAATTGATCGGCTCAAAAAACCAAATTGCGGAATTGTTTTCTTTCATTTTTCGTGTGAACGTAATGATTATGATAGTCTACTGTATAAAAGGCGGTTTTGGGTTTTGATGGTAGTAAGATGGCGATTTAAGAGAAGCCAGGACGAATAACCCGCTCGTTACATGACTCTGTTTCGTGTTAACGTCATCGTCACGGTTGATTGAAAACCATTCCAGGCCATTTCTGACAACAGGATACAAGTTTTATGGGGGAAATTTACAAGAAACTTCTTAGTTACCCGTTGTTGCCTTTTTTCCATTAATTAGGCAATTCGAAAACCAGACCCCATGGAACTTCCGTAAGCTGTACCAAAATTGTAAGAAATTCATAGCGTCTCTAAATATTGAAAAACAATATGCATATCTTAGGTGCATAAAATGGTGCAATGAGATTTGTTGACAAACTCGTCGTCATCAAATTGCACGTGTTTTGGGCTTTTTAGCGTTTTCCCTATGTGACTTCATAATTTTTAAGGTTGAGTAATTCTTTGGTGCATAGTAACTATATTTCTCATTTGACAAATTTTGGTAATTTTCGGTCATGCGGTCAATTTTTTTTTCGAATATTATGCTACCCTGCGTTTCTTTTTCCTTTCAGTATATCTCAGAATGTTTAGACATAAATATTGATAGTGAAAAAACACACTGAGAATTGATTTTTTATCAAAGAAAATTTGGAATCGAAATAAGTTATCCCAATCTGTTTTCTGGAAGCTTCATTAGAGAAACAATTAAGGGCGTAGTCAGGGTACTTTTTATGTGTGTGCCCGAGTTTAGGCATGAGTTTGGGGTCGACTTAAGGATCTCAATGGGGTCCGCGGGGGCAAAGCTCCGGAAGCTAAATTGTAAAATATTCAGTTAGAAAGATAGAACGCAATGCACTTGGAAAAAAAAAACCCAGCAATATTCAATCATAAACCAAGTTCTAAGAAAATTTTATTTTTCCTTTAAACTGAATTTTAATTTTCAATTATTTTTTATCGATATTTCTTAAAGATTTTTTTTACTTGTGAAATTATTAATTTATTTATTTCTTTAATTGCTTGGGCAGATCAACCGAATCTTCGAAATGTTACAGTTTTATTTAAAGTTGTATTCAGAAGTATAAATTCATGAATAACTAATCCTTTAAAAGAAAGTTGCACAATCATTTTCCTTTTAATGATTAATATCAAAGACAATTAACAGGGCTTGTACCGGTACACTCTTCACAATACATTTCAAAACAATCAACTGTCCAATTTCCGTAACACTAAATATCTTCTGACAAACGATTATTAACAAAATAGTTTTATTGATATTCTAATTAACCTTTTCAAAATTTATTTCAACATATTCAATATTTAATTCAAAGATTTATGAAAAGAAACTAATTATAACTATTGCATAATTTATGTTTGTTGTTACAGCTCTGCATAGCTTCAAGAAAATATTGTTGTTCTATCAAATAACCAATTTAAGATTTTATTTCTAAATATGCTTATCTAATTATCAAATCTTGCATTCTTTGATAAATTTTTACAGTGTAACAGCTGAAAATCATCTTAAAAATAACAAATTTTTAGCTACAATCTGCCCTTGAAAGAGATCTTATAAAAGAAAAGAATGTTATATAGAACAATAATTTAAAATAAAATAGACATAAAAATAAATTTATATATGTATGAAATTTACTTGGTTCTTAAAAGGGTTTTGGATTTTATTTGTCTTTCTTTTTTAAGTTCAATTGGTATTTTATTATGTTTAACTGGGTACAAATAGTTCCATTTTCATAAAATTGAGTTGTCGTTCATAACGAAATCTCAGTTACATGTGATTATAGGATGAAAAATCTTTGACATCTCTACATTTTAATATATGCAAATCTCTCTGCATTATATATTCTTATAAAGTAATATTTCTCGTGGTACATTTGTCTTTCTGTATATTTTTACTTATAGGATATGTCTGTGAATGGAACAGATTATACGTTCGCAGTGCCTACAGGGGATTTCAGTCTTTCTTTTGGACAAACAGCTGACTGTGCTGCAGAAAAGTCGAGGAAAAACTGTTTTCGATTTTCCAGTGCAAAAATCAATACTCGAGGAACAGGGATGATTTTTGATCCTACTGTAAGTTTTAATTTCCAGAAATAAAATAACATGTCCTTAAAAAAATTATTCTTAGAGAGAAACATGAAGAAAATGATAAGGATTCAAATGTCAATTGAAAAAAAATAAGGCGGGAGCAGAACGGGGACCTCAAAAACACCAGAATTAGAGGAAAGATCAGGCGCCAAGAAGGAGGAAGCATTCTATATACATTGGTCACCCATCGCGTGTTCCTTGTCTTAACAAGAAAAACGAAAAATCCGTAGAATGAATAAAATATGTTATTGAAATTCTTTAAAATAATCATTAACACTTAATTTAGCAGAGTTAAAAATTTGAGCGGGAAGTGAACGCTCACAAGGTTTTAAGATGAAGCTTATGATTTTTATTTTTTTTTCCGAATCTAATTATGTCTGTGAGCACTAAGCTCACAATATCATAACCCCGACCATGATGTGATTATAAAGTGATATCTCTTGCAATGGAAAAAGTTAATATCTTCCCAATTTGTTAATATAGAAGAGAAGGTGCCAAAAGGCACTATCATGATTTATTGCAAAGTTATCATAAAGAAGTCGGTTCACTTTATGCATAAAATGGCTCTGTAGATATACCAACTGATTGAACAACACTTGATTTTCAATTTGAAGCATTAAAATAAAATAGAGACTTAGTGCTTTCATATCGTATTAAGAATTTTCTCCTAAAAGTCCAGGTCTTGAAGAACTGGCTTTATTAAATTGCAATGTTCTTGAATTTCTAGGTAAACAGGTATAATTAAGTACTTTCAGGGAAGAAAAATACTGTGAGCGCACTCTCTGATCTAAAAAATAAAACCTGTCTTTGAATTCTCAAAAACAGTTCTATCATATACGAGTTGCATATATTAGATCAGAGGTTGCGCAGAATATGAGAAAATTGACGCAATTTGTGACGTCATAATGCATTGACTAGCCAGAAAATTACGTCATTTTGATAGATACACAGTCACCAAAGATCTAAGGGATATTTAATGCATTGTTAACTAAAACTATGTAATTTCAGATTTTCAGAAATACACAGGGCCAAATAAGGCAAAGGTGAACCTTGTTCTTTTATACAGTGGTATAGGAGATGCAGCAGATTTGATATTTTTAAGAATGACAGAGTCCAAGATTTGTTTTTAAAAAATCAAATATTTGTCTGACAAAAATGTATTTTTATTAATGATACTTATCTTTAAAAAACAAAGATGTCGCAAAAGTAGCATTAACTTTTGTTTTGTTACTTTGACCACTATGAGGAATATAAATACTTCTAAAATAATAAGTGGTATAATTGGGGTTGAGAATAAGAAATGTTGACGAATGGCATTGTCAATGCATACATGTTTTGCAATAGAAAACCGATATATCTGTCTGAAAGAAACACGGAGAAAAGGTTGCATAAGCATGACACCATGTAATTAAATTTGTGCGAAAATCTCATAATTTTATTTATCAAATTTTAAGTAAATTTCAAATAAGAATTTGATGCCGCAATAGTTAAGGACATATAGGCGGAAGGACAAAAGATGGAAAGAACTGCGGTTGAATACACGAGTCAATTAAAACCCCGTTTTTAAAGAGGTGCATAAGTATGATAAGAACAAAATTTAATCTATTTGCAGATTGTATTCGGTAAAGTGGGAGGCTGGGCTACTGGTATACTGGATTTTCAGCGTTCAGCAGACGGAGCGGAAGTGTCCTTCCGGTGTGCAGGATGGTGTGGAAAATGTGGTCCAGTTGAAGAAATGAAGTTTATTTTGACAACAGAAGCGGGTGAGACATCTTCACTTATTGGTTTGATTTAAGAATTTGTCTCAGACAAAACTTAGGAACTTCATACATATATTTTGTAGATTATCATTCATTCTTGTGAAAAAAAAACATTTACAAAATATAAAATTTCAGAGGACAGATACAATTAACATCTCAAACTTATGTAATCACGAGGTCATATCTCTATGAACTAATATTTTTTCCTCTAAAAACGAAATTTTGACTTTATCTAATACTTAAGAATTTTACTGAGGTTGTGTACCATTCGGGGCGGCACATCCTTAATCTCTTTCTGACAGGAATATTTATATCTTATTTATCCGTATTTGCAGTTCCCGTTTCCGAAGCACAGTCAGTGATTTGTCCTGTGAAATAAACTCCATGGTCCCAGAAATCACCCTCAACATAAAGAGAATGACATTCTCTTCTGGAAAAAAGAATTTGGAACCTCTTACTTCAACAATAATTTAAAATTGATTTTCCTTGCATTCATATTATGATCTTTTAAATTACCACTTTGGAAAAGAGTACAAAAAGAAAACATACGTTTATTATGCTTTTCTTGTATGTAAATGATATTATATATAATGTATATTACTTATAACAATATCAATAATGTACATCAGGCTTCTTTTTCTCATACTGATCTATAATTATATTTGAAATAAAAAAAATTTATAAGCAAAAATTCAGCAATAAATATCATATATTTAGAGCTTATTATCCATACCCAATAAACATGTAAAAAAAAAAATCCCTATCCCTGATTTTCCTTAAAAAGTGCCTTTTTGTTCTGGTCAGAATGTAGTTACTTTAGAAAGTCAAAACAGCAAAATATTATTTGTGATGACAAAACCAATGAGATTTGAAGATAATTAACGTGTCACCATGCTCAAAGGTCCATTGAAACGATACAAATCAGGAGCACAGGAAACACTTGATGCATACTTCAGAAGAGGGATCAAATACCATGGAGACGAAGGCGTCCCCTGACCTATTTCAAAAGAAAAACAAATAACAATCAATCTGATTAAAAGAGCTTTGCGCTATGTAGAGATCTGCATTTTAATCAGACTGAATAACAATCAGAGTCTTATGTTTATATTTCTAATGTCTTTGTCCGAGATAAAATTACAAATAGTTAATGTACTTTATTTCCTCATCAATGTCCTGGTTCATTGATAGGCGTGGTTAAAAAAAAATCCCGTGCGGGGCGGGACAAATGGAGAAACAGAAGCTGGGCGTCTAGCATGTGGATTGGCGGAATCAAGAGCATGTAAATATAAGGAATAACTGTCTTATTTTTCGATTTCATGACGATGATATTGGCTTGGGTGATAATTTTATGCATAAAAGCATAAAAGCTCGGGAAAGAGAAATACGATTTGTTATATAATTATATAATTTGTATTATAATTAATATATAATTTGTAGAAGGCAACTTCAATTTATTCAATCTTTCTTAATTTCCATCAAGTTAGTCTGCCTTTTCCGATCAAAAACTATTGAAATCTGACTTAAAACTAACAGCCATGGTAGGAAATTATCAAAGTATCAAAATAAACAACATTCAATGAAAAAACAACAAACTTTTTAGCTCTGCTTAATCAGAAGAAAGTCAAATATTTAGAAAATAATTTTTAATTTGGCTGAGTTCAGTTAAGACTACATATAGACAATTAGTTTAAAAAAAAAATAATGCGGTTTATAGTCCTCTATACTTTGATTTGAAAGATGTACATTGGTAAAAATGTCTCAAGAGATCCTATGGTAAAAGAATTGGCCTATTTACCTAAATTTATCAACTCTTTAAGGAAAATAAGTCTCCCAGTTTATTCCATATTCATATATTCTACCTTCTGTCAAATAAAAAACAACCCATCTAAAACAAATTATTGACAATTTTTGAATACAAGAGCATGCCAAAGAGAAAATGTCTGCTATGACCAGTCAACAGTGGATATTTACAATACTGTTTTCAGACATCTGTGTTGGTTCTGCATTTAACAGATCTAAATCTATTTGTGTATATAAAATATATGCCTCTATTTTACAAGAAAAGTATATTTTCGGGAACATGAACACTACAATGTAGGTCCTCGATTATTGTTTATTTGTAAGTCATTGAACTGTTCTGTGCGTGTACATAATTTGGCGTTTTCAAAATTTGGCGTTATCACTGTCCGTTCAGTGTACTGTATTTAAATGATTTCTTAGAGGTATTAACGAATTAGCGCATTGTTGTTTATAAAAAGCCAAGGCTGCTAAAACATGACGCCTGTGTTTCAAAGTACACATAAAGTATTAGGAATATAGCATAATATACACGTACGATATCTCGAACTCAGTGCATTAACTACGAACAATCCAGATAGTTCCGATTGTAAACATGGCGAATAAAAAGTTGAGAAAATTAGTTAAATTTTCGTCTATATAAGGATTTTTTTTGGGAGGTGGGGTGGGATCGTTAAAAGGCATATTAAAATCTCAAAAAATACATAATTTCTCGCATTCAAAATTTTGCGTAATCACTGGGTATAGTGTTGTTGGCGTACTCATAAATTAGCACTACACATGTCCATTCAGTGTATTCTTTATGTAATTGATTTCTTAGCGGTTTTCATGAATTAGCTATAGCGCATTCTTGTTTGCGCAAAAGCCGCTGAAAATGAAGCCCGTATTTTAAAGTATACATACAGTAATAGCAATGTAGCATAAAGTACACGTGCACGTACCATAACTCGAATTCAGTGAACTACGAACAATCCAGATAGTCCCGACTGTAAACATGGCGTGTAAATTTGAAGCAAGAAAAAAAAACGTTGAGAAAATTAGTTGAAGGTTTGTCTATATATGGATTTCTTTTGGGAGGTGGGTAGGCGTCGATAAAAGAAATATTACAATCTCAAAAAGTATGAAGGGGGTTGTCTCAGATTTTTTCTCAGAACAGTCTTCTGTTGTAGTTTTAATATGTAAATTTTCATTTGGATATTACATGCCTCATCCCCACTGTTTGTTGCTGTTCGGTCATCCATGGGCAACTACAGGAAAAATGTTTCCGCAATATCAGAAAAACTGAAGTCAGACATTTTTTGTACTCAATACTCTTTCCCCCCATTTTCTTCAAGATGAGTATTCAGATAGGGGTAAAAAATTAAAATATTTTTTTTTTGTATAACTGTCTATATTTTGGTAAAGAAAACAAAGAAGATGTGGGAACAAGGCCACATGCCTTATATACAGCGCAACGAACTTGAATGTGAAAATTCCATCTTAATTATCACAAAATTTTCTCGTAACATTGACGTATATTTGATGTAAAAACTCCACAATTTTCCAAAACCTTATTAAAAGGATTGTTTTGTCTGTTGTATAATGTCTCTTTCAAGTGGCTTCCATTCATATGGAGACGCCATCACTTGCCCATGGTAAGCTGCAAATTTTGTCCTATGCTCGGCACTCATCATTTCATGGCCATTGAGCAGTGAGGGACCTTTTTCGCGCTAGCTCCTACTGCTACCCGGGCCCTCGGATTAAATGGTTTCAGTAATAGTATTCGAGCCTGCAATCAACTCCTTACTTTGCGACTCTTCAGTCGTTCTAACGTTCTAACCACTGCGCCACGCAGGTGGCATTAAAGAGATTGGATTTTCTCCCTTTGAAATAGAATTCACACACTAAAGAGGACAAAAAGGGTCATTTTCTAATATTATAACATAATGTTTTATACTAATGGATCATCGTTCTATTTCATGGCTCATGGCCTTACCTCAAGATCACAAGGGTAAGATATTTTAGATAAAAAGAATATGTGTGAAGTCGGGAACATTCAGATGGGGTTTGCTTATAACCAGTTGCAGAGTGTGTCATAGCTTGACAGAGGGTTATTAGTACAATTTCAAAGTCACTATTAGAAGAGATGTACATTCCTTTGCTGTCTTTCTACTGCTGAAAAATTGCAAACTGCTACGCCTGAAAAGACTACTTGCATCCTTAGCATATGGCATGACCTTGACTTAAGGTCACTTTGTCCTAATCGCAGTTTCAGCGGAAGACGTACTCGTTGCTTTACAACAAGCTCTGCTCTAGGTTTATTTGTAATTATTATATTAAATGTCGCTTGGCACTTTTTTTTAGCAGATGGGCATGTGGAGAGTTATTACGTATACAGGTTGTCGGAGTACTTTTCAATCTTATCATTAAAGGCAAAATTAGATACCATTTATTGTGTAAAATTATGACAATATCAAACGTGAATTTGTACATGTATGATTAGTAACATGACAAGTTAATTGAATTCATGCTTAACTTTTCTTTATATTATATAAACAATAAAATGCTTTCTTTTGTTGTTAATTAGTACTGGAATGAATGTCGCAGCTGTTGCAGAAAAAATACACAACCTGCGTAACTTATGGGAAATGTTAAAGTTGCTGCAGACAAACAGACAGACAGCTAGACAGGTAGACAGACGAACGGACACCAAAAAATCTAAATAACCCTAAAACTTCGTTTACGGGACATAAAAAGGAAATTCTGACTGGAGATTTTTCCAACATCGTACTTTAGAGAATAATATCAATTAGGTGTTTTACTTGCACTTACATATACACTCTTATTTGTTTATAAGTGCCTCTTCAAAAAAAAAGTCGTTTAAGATTGTGTTTCAAATTGAAAAAGAAAATGGACGGTTTTCAGGATCTAATGAGAAGAGAATCCTGCAAGTTAAGTACCAAACACTGTGTTTTTGTGTCAATACTTGGATTTCTGCTGGTTTTGGGACTAGGAATTTTCACATCATCTCTTGCTTATCTTCACAAATATGATAGAGACCGTGTTAATCCATCGTCGGAAATGCTCAAGGAGTCCGTTTCGGGAGATTTTACAACGCAGGGCATAGTGACTGAGAGAATGATTCAAAGTATGTTCTTTACATCTAAATTTAAAGTTTTTTGTCCCCCGCTTTCGCGAAACGAGGGGGACATTAAATTTCATTCGTCTGTCCGCGTGTCAGTCTTTCCGTCCATCGCGAAAACTTTTACCTTGGTTATATCTTCTGAATGAGAAGAAAGGGGGCTTTTATATTACATAAATATATATGTTACTTGTGACTAAATACACTATGATTTTTGAACCAGTGACCTTAAAGTTTGACCTACCTTTTAAAATAATGATCATAACTTTCAATTGGCCCAATTTGCATATGAAAAGAAAGAGGGATTTCACATTAAAGATCATTACCCGTGACAACAACTTTCGAATTATACTATAAATTTGATATCGTGGCCTTGAAGTCTGATCTATTTTTCACAACCTTTAACCATGGTCATATCTTTGAATGAGAAGAGATACATCTTTCATATTATACATGTATATTACCTGTGACAAGATCTTTCTAAATACAATATTTTGTTGATCTTGTGACGGTGAAGTTTGACCTGGTTTTCAAAAATGTTATTTTTTCCTTATAACTTTTGATATGAATTTTTCAAATAACCCCATTCACCGCAGTCATGCATTTTAACGCATACACCATTAACTATTTCTAACGCAATATCAAACATATACCTTTCCCTGCTATCACGCATTTTGAAAAGTTAATGTGATTTTCAATTTATGAAAAGTTAATTTCTTATTAAAATATTACGTCATAATATTATTTACGCTAAACTTTAGAGAAACTTCTACCATGCTATCATAAAGACACCGAAAGCGGGGGACCACAATTCTATGAATTTGCTTGCACTTATAGTTTCCGTCAACTTAGAGGAAATTCCGATTGTGAATTACTTAGTACGTGTATTCAAATACGAGGGGTTTGTTACAACGCACTTTGACAAATTACGTACTTTGAAAAAAAATTCAAAGTGCGTTAAATTTGGGACCAATTCAACGCCTTTGAAATTTTTTTTTCAAAGTGCGTTGATATCAACCATATTAACGCACTTTGAAAAAAGTGTATGGTTGATATTCTTACAAATCTTAGATATGAAAAATAATTGAACCTGTTGGATAATTTTTCAGTGATAAGGTCACTTCAGGATGTGAAAGTGAGCGATTTTGATTTTTCCATACTTTGAAAATTCTTTCTCTCTTTAATGTTTTATAATTGTTCTTATTTTTTTCCAGTTTGCATGCATTTTATGCAAACTAAAATTTATAGAAAGATTTCAACGTCATACTAGTTATGCTAATTCATATTTTGGTGTAGCATAGGCATCGGGTACCGGGAGGGGTGCTTAGGCATACGAATGTTTTACAAAGATATAGTTACATAATATAGACATTGAAAATTTTGGCTTACTTTCGGGGGGGGGGTTACAACGTTCAGTGTGCTACCCACGGCTATGTAAAACAAAAATAGTTGGACTGAGAGACGTTCTACTCGTCTTCTCCTTGTTCTCTATGAGGTTAAAGCAATTCACGTAAATTAACAAGTTTTCGAAAGATATAATTATTACAAATTAACTCTCTCAATTACTAAAATCGAAGTCTAGAATTTTTGTTTACTACATATTTTTTTTCAAAGTGCGTTAAATTTCCCCATGGTAAAAAAATGTTGATGTACAGTCTCGGGTCAAAAGTATTCGTAAAAAATGGCGGCCTACTTTTTCAATGCCGCGCTTCGCTCCCCCTTTCAGCGTCGTTCTTGACGCATAAATTAGAGTTATCCCTCTTACTACGTACAAATATACACAAGCACGACAAATCACGTGGCTTTGTTATGACGTATTTTGTCGTCTGCAAATGTTTTGTTTTCGCTATCAAAACAAATGGGTAGGAAAGGATCTGAACTGTGTGCATCCGAAAAAGAAAGTATTTTATCGTTGTCTAAAGCTAATATAAAGTTAAAGGAAATATCAGATATAACAGGAAAGCCTATTTCTACAATATGCAGTTTTTTAAAGCGGCAACAAAGATGTGGAAGTGCAGAAAACAAGGATCGAAGTGGCAGACCGCGTAAGTGTAGTATCCACAAGGGGAAAGGCAACTTATCCGACTTGTGAAAAATAATCGCCCAAGGACTTTGACAGAATTAACGAATGTTACCAATGAAAATGGAGCAAGAAGACTTTCAGAAAGTACAGTGAAAAGAATTTTGAGGAAAGGGGGTTAACGAGTTAATTGGTGTAAACAATATAGACACGAAACTGTGGATGGGTTTTGGAATAATATAATATTCAGTGATGAATGTAAGATGATGATTGATGGAGAACAAAGCGTGTATGTGTAGCGGAAGGACGGCGAAGAATGGGTCCCCCCTTGTGTTGCACCCCCTCCTGGACGGCGCCTAGATTTGATGGTGTGGGGATGTATAACAGCTTACGGTGTAGATACTTTATGTGTTGTTGAAGGTAATCTTAATGCCAAAAAATATATTGAAATCATCGATAGCAATTTATGGCCTGTTGTAGCCAAGCATTTCCCTAACAATAGGTATATATTTCAAGACGACAATGCTCCTGTGCATAGAGCAAGAGTAGTCAAAGATTTCGTGACTAGAGAGGGAATAACAACACTTGAATGGCCAGCCCAAAGTCCTGACTTAAATATTATCGAAAATTGCTCGAAGAAAATGAAACATGAACTTAAATGTTCATAATCTGAGGACCAACGATGACCTTGCAGTAGCCGTTCGAAAGGCCTGGGAAAACATCCCGCATTAATTCATTCAAATGCTATACCAGTCGATTCCAAGAAGAAGTAAAGCAGTAATCAAGTCAAAAGGCTGCCTTATGAAACATTAAGGTTGGTGCAAATTTAATTAAGTTAAAAATTTGATGAAACTAAGGTGACCTAGTTTTGTTTACATCGCCGCCATTTTGTTTTTTTTTACGAATACTTATGACCCGCGACTGTACACTCTTAACGCACTTTGAAAAAAAAATTCAAAGTGCGTTGAGTGTGTCTCAAATTTAAGGTACTTTTGATTTTTTTTCAAAATGCATTGATTTTGTTCTCAGTTTAACGCACTTTGAAATTTTTTTTTCAAAGTGCATGATTTTTTCAAAGTGCGTTACCACAGGGGTTATCAAAAAATTCGTGGACTGAGGCTATAATTAGTACCATGTAGTCTGAGTTCACAAAATTTATAAAGAACATAAAATACCAAAAAACAAAATTAGTATCATGTAATACATATTGTGACCCCACCCTACCCTTCTGATCACAATTTAGACAATTTAAAATCTACACACAAAATTTGAGAAGGAGATTTTTAAAGATTTTTCCTATATATTTCTATGTAAAAGAACATAAAATAGATTTTCAAAATAATAAAAGAAACCCCAGGGGTCATACTTCGCACACTTTGAAAATTTTAGCTTTTCTGGCCTTGAGAAGGAGATTTTAAAAGATTTTTCCTATATATTTCATTGTGGCCCCGCCCTATATTTACCCAGGATGCTTCTAAATAAAATTTTTGGCCCATATTTTTCCTATATATTTCTATGTAAAACTTTGATATTATATGATCATGCTTGGCATAAGTTTCAGCTTTTCTGGCCCAGTGGTTCTTGAGAAGAAGATTTTTTATTGACTCCACCCTATTTTTGTCATTTCTTGATTATCTCCCCTTGTGAGGGGACTTGGCCCTTTATTTTAACAATTTAAATTTCCCTTTACCCAAGGATGCTATGTACCAAGTCTGGTCAAAATTGGCCCAGTGGTTCTTGAGAAGAAGTCGAAAATGTAAAAAGTTTACAGACGGACGGACGGACGGGCTTCAGCAGCGGACAAAATGTGATCAGAAAAAGTCACTTGAGCCTTCGGCTCAGGTGAGCTAATAAAGAAATGTTGAAAATTTTAGCTTGATAGTACAATATTTCCCAAATTTTGATAAAATTAAAACGATATTATATGATCATCTGGCTTAACTACTAACCCTTTTATCACCTTTTTCAATAATATCAAGCAGTGGCGTGGCCTCAGCAGCGGACTCCATAGGACGTTTGGTTATCAGCTGATTCAGATTGAAATATATAAATATATAAGATTGTATTGAATAATTTAACTTCAAGCAATCCATTTTTCGTTTTTATTCTCAACTAAAATAAGAATGCCTACTTGCAGTTTCGTTTTGTGAAAAACAAGTCGGTATTATTAATAATTTTTATAAAACGAGCATAATCCTGATTTTAAGAAGGTCAATGCTGATTATAAACCTAGACCAATGCTAGCTATGCTAGTTCTATCCTTTCCTTGCTGATCCAGGTTATGCTGTTTTTTTTTAATGCCGACGCTGATGCTAGCTAGATCCTGACATCTTCATCAACACCATCATCATCAACAACATCATCATCCTACTAACCCCAACATCCTCTCCAACATCATCATCAACACCATCAACATCATCATCAACACCATACCACCACCACCATGATCATCATCAGCATCATCATCACCACCAACATCATCATCGACACCCTCATCATTATCATCAATATCATTATCAGCATCATTGTTTGATTTATCATTTTTGTTTCTCGATAAAAAATTGTCCTTTGTGAAATATTAATTGTCTGTTTATGAAGTGCCCCAGACGTGTTCTGACATCGCTGGATGCTCAAGGATAGCAAAAGATGGTGAATACTGGCTGTATCCTGCAGTAACGAATGGAAAGAGGGTGAAGATTTATTGTCATGACATGCAAACAAATCCGAAGGAGTATGTCACTCTGAAGTATGAAAACTCCTTTGTTCAACATGACAACTCAAACTGGTTAAGCAAATACAAACGCTGCACATCTACATTTAGGCCCCCACTAAAGAAAGCAGTTTTTTTGAAAGTGGCCATTAACATAAAGGTAACACTGCATACGGACGAATTTATGTCCCGTGTGCCCTTTTGCAATTACTATCAATTTTGGTCCTTTTTAATCTGCCCAGGCACAGTTCTATTTAAAATGTTACCGTCTTATATGAAATCGCCCAACTTTAAATTCGCCCAACTGTGCTTAAGGCAAAATGAAGAAAAAAAAACGGGGACAAAATATCTCTGGATACAGCAATTTCATAACTTAAATATATCAGAATGATTAGGCATAACTATTGAAAGTTAAAAACATATTGAGATTTGGTTTTTATCAAACAGAGTTTGGAATCGAAATGAATGAATTATCCCAATTTGACATCTCGAAGCGTCATTAGAGGCACAAGGGGCGTAGCAAGGATAGTTTTTATGTAGGCGCCTGAGTTTAGGCAGGGGTTTGGGGTCGACGTAAGGATCTCAATGGGGTCCAAGGGGACAAATCCCCCGGTGGCTACTAAATTTTCGACGATTTTGATGTGTATATTTGACCCTCATGATCGCATTTTTCTTACACTTTATGTTCGTTGGTTAAATTGTTAAGCAGGTATTCAAGGTCTGCTCTGTTTTTGTACAATTGGATAACACTTAAAATGAGAAAGGATCTGTCTAATGTCGTTGAATGATGAACCCACTAAAACAATGTAATATACTTTTGAAGAGACAAAATACGTAGACCTATTGTAAAATATTCGATTAGAGAGAAAAAACGTAATGCACTTAAATAAAATGCAAAATTTGAAAAATTGTTATTTTTCCCTAAAACTCATCATCAATTTTCAATTATTATTTTTATTTATATTTCTTAATTCTTTTAAATTTTTTTTTTACTTGTACAACTTTTGATTTATTTATAATAATTCTTTTAATTGCTTAGGCAGATCAACCGAATCTTCGAACTGTTACAGTTTTATTTAAAGTTGTATTCAGAAGTATATATTCATGAATAACTAATCTTTTAAAAGCAAGTTGCACAATCATTTTCCTTTTAATGATTAATAAGACAATTGAACAGGGTTTGTACCGGTACACGCTTCACGATACATTTCAAAACAATCAACTGTTCAATTTCCGTGACAATAAATATTTTTTGACAATCGATTATTAAAACAATAGTTTTATTTATATTCTAATTAACTTTGCCAAAATCTATTCCAACATACTCAATATTTAATTTAGAGATTTAGGAAAAGAAACTAATGTTGTTGCAGCTCTGAAGAATAGATTCAAGAAAATATTTTTGTACTATCAAATAATCAATTTAAGACTTTATTTCTTAAAATGCTTATTTAATTATCAAATTTCACAATATTTCATTAATTTTTATAGTGTAACAGCTAAAAATCATTTTAAAAATAACGATTTTGTAGATAAAATCTGCCCTTGAAAGAGATCTCATAAAAGAAAAAAAAAGCTATAAAGAACAATAAATTAAAATATAATAGGGATAAAAATAAGTTGATACATGTATAATATTTATGTAATTCTTATAACTGGTTTTGGCTTTTATTTGCCTTTTTTGGACCTGGTATTTTATTATGTTTAACTGGGTACCAATACATGTGTAAAGCCATTTTTCATACAAAGAAGTTGTCGTTCGTATTGAAAACTCAGTTACATATGATTTATGATGAAAAATCTTTGCCATCTCTATATTGTAATATATGCAAATTTCTCTGCATTATGGATATTTTTCGTGCTACATTTGTCTCTCTGTATATTTTTATATTTATAGGATATGTCTGTGAATGGAAAAGATTATACGTTCGCAGTGCGTACAGGAAATTTTAGTCTTTCTTTTGGACAAACAGCTGACTGTGCTGGAGAAAGGTGGATTAAGAACTGTTCTCGATTTTCCAGAGCAAAAATCAATACTCATGGAACAGGGATGATATTTGATCCTACTGTAAGTTTTATTTTAAAGAAATAAAATCATATGTCCTTGAAAATTTTGAAAATCATTCTTAGAGTGATATTATGAAGATAATCAAAGAATTCCAGCTCAAATATCAATTGAAAAAAAAATCTGTGTAAAAATGTGTATTAATTAATGATACTTACTTTAAAAAAGATTTCATATTAATTTTTGTTTTGTTACTTTGACCAATATGAGGAAAATAAATATTTTTAAAAATATTAAATTGCAAAATTGGCGTTGAGAATAAGAAATGTTGACGAATGGCATTATCAATGCATACATGTTTTGCAACAGGACAGCAATATATCTGTCTGAAAGAAACACAGAGAATAGGTTGCAGAAACAGGGCACCATTCATATAAATTGCGCGAAAATTTCATGATTTTTTAAAATCTAATTTTAAGGAATTTTCACATAAGAATTTGATCCCTCAATAGTTACGGACATATAGGCGGTAGGATAAAAAGACGGAAAGACCTGCGTTGGAATACTCAAGTCAATTTATAACCCCGTTTTTTTTTATAGAGATGTGTCATTATGATAAGAACAAAACTAAATCTATTTTCAGCTTGTATTCGGTAAAGCGGGAGGCTGGGAAACTGATATACTGGATTTTCAGCGTTCAGCAGACGGAGCGGAAATGTCCTTTCGGTGTCGCGGATGGTGTGGGTGGTGTGGTCCAATTGAAGAAAAGATGAAGTTTATTTTGACATCAGAAGCGGGTGAGGCATCTAAACTCGTTGGTTTGTTTTATGAATTTGTCTCAGTCGAAATTTGGTAACTTGATACATATATTTTGTAGATTTTCATTCATCCTTTTGAGAAAAATAATTCACGAAACATAAAAATTCAGGAGAAAGCGACAAATAAACTCTGAAAACTTATGTAACCACGAGGTCATATCTAAAAGAACTAATATTTTTTCCGCTAACAACAAAATGTTGACTTTACTTAAATACAATAGGCAGTTTGGGTACGATTTGAGGACAGCACATCCTTTGTTTGTAACAAGAACATTTATAGCTTATATATCAGTACTTGCAATTCCAGTTTCAGAAGCACTGTCGGTGATTTGTTCTGTGAAATAGATTCCATGGTCCAGAAATCATGCTCATTATAAAGAGAATGGCATATGTCGTCTGGAACAGGAATTTGGAACAACTGACTTCTACAATAATTTGAAATTAATTTTTTTGCATTCATAGTATGATTTTTTTAAATGATCACTTTGAAAGAGAGTACGAAAAGGAAACATACATTTACTATGTTTTCCTTGTATTTAAATGACATTATAAATTATGTATATCACTAAGAACAATATAAATAATGTACATCTCTCCTCTTTTTTCTGATACTGATGTATAATTATATTTGAAATAAAAAACATCAATTATAAACAAAAATTCATCAACAATAAAAATCTCTCTACAGCACGATGAAACTCAAGATTTTAAAGATTTTGGAAAAACTCGTATATTTAGAGCTTATTATTCATACCCAATGAACATTAAAAAAACCCTATCCCTGCTTTTCCCTAAAAGTGCGTTTTTGTTCTGGTCAGGATGCACTTACTTTAAAAAGTCAAAACAGTAAAATAGTATTTGTGATGATATCATCAATGAGATTTGATGATAATAAATATGTTGCCATGCCTAAATGTTCATTTAAACGATACAAATCAGGAGCGCAACAATCACAGGGAGCATACCTCAGAGGAGGGATCAAATACAATAAAGGAGAAAGCATCCCTGACCTGTTTTGAAAGAACACAAGTAACAATCATAGTCTTGTAATGATTCATTTTTAAGCCCCCGTAAAAAAGTTTCGGGGGTATATAGTTTTTGTCGTGTCCGTCCGTCTGTCTGTCTGTGTCTGTGTCTGTCTGTCTGTCTCTCTGTCTGTCTGTTTGTACGCACAAACTTTAACTTTGCCCATGACTTTTGATTTAGTGGAGCTATGACTTTCATATTTCACATGTGTATTCTTTATGACAAGACCTTTCCTTGGGTACCATCAAATTTGACCTTTTGACCTTGACCTTGGAGTTTGACCTACTTTTACAAAACAAATTCCAAAATATTACTTTGGCCATATCTTTTGAACAGTAGATACCAGGACTTTTATACTTCATATATGTTTTTTGTGGCAAGACATTTAATTAATTACCAACAATTTTGACCTTGACTTTGAAGATTTCCGTACTTATGACAAAAAAAAACTTTAATCTTGGCCATAACTTTTGAATGGTAAGGGCTAGGGCTTTCATACTTCACATATGTAATTCTTGTGAGAAGACGCTTCATAGAATACCAAGAACTTTGACTTTGGAATTTGACCTACTTTAAAAATAGTCTTGAACATAATTTTTGCAGAGTTAAAACTAGGGCTTTCATGCTTCATATATTTAATCCTTGTGACAAGACCTTTCATTTAATATCAAGAACCTTTACCCTTTGATCTTGACCTTTGAGTTTGAACCATTTTAACACAAAAAATCTAAACCTTTACGTAGGACCTAATTTTTCAAACAGTAGATACTAGGAATTTCATATTTCAAACATCAATTCTTTGCGACAAAACCTTTCATTTGAAACCAACAATTTTGACTTTTTGACCTTGGACATTTTCGTACTTACGAAAAAACTTGAACCTTACGAAAAACTTTAACCTTGGTCATAACTTTTGAACGGTAAGGGCTTGGGATTTCATACATATGTAATCCTTTTGAAAAGACCTTTTATTGGATATCAAAATCTTTGGCCCTTTGACCTTGAACTTGGAATTTGACCTCTTTTTACAAACTTTAACCTTGGCCATAACTTTTGAAGGGTAAGGGCCACAACCTTCATACTTCCCATATGTAACATTTGAGACAAGGCCCTTCTTCAAAAACCAACAACCATGACCCTTTGACCTTGACCCCGGAGTTTGTACTACCTTTCAAAACGTTAACCTTGGTCATAACCTTTGAATATGTAGTGCTTGGGTTTTATATTTCATATTAGTATTTTGCGCAAAGGCCTTACTTTAGGTACCAAGATATTTGATATGCATTTGAGAAAGCTTAACCTTTGCTTTGTTGCCGTACGGGGGCATCAGTATTTCAGAAACACATCTTGTTTCTTTTGTAATCGGTATGGTGTCAATTTAGACATTTCACGGCTTTATTTGAACTAAAAGCACGTATACTTTGTAGCTTCGCAAGTGCCCTGGAAGCAGAAATATGATGCAACTTGTGTGACGCAATTTCAATATATTCAATCTTTCTTAATTTCCATCAAGTTAATCTGCCATTTCTCGATCAAAAACTATTGATAAGGCCTTCTTAGCTCTGCGTAATCAAAAGAAAGTTAGGTATTTAGAAAACACTTTTTAATTTGGCTGAATTCATTTTAGACTACATTGTAAACAATTAGTTATGCAGAAAATGGTGCATTTATAGTCCTCAATACTTTTATTAGATTAGATGTACTTTGGTAACAGCGTCTAAAGAAACCCTATGGTAAAAGAATTGGCCTCTTTGCCTAAATTGATCACCTCTTTAGGGAAATAAGGTCTCCCAATTTATTCCATATTCATAAATCCTACCTAAAGGGTTAAATGAAAAACAACTAAAAACAAATTATTGACAATTTTCGAATACCCGAGCATGCCAAAGAGACAATGTCTGCTATGACCAGTTAGCACTGGATGTTTACACCACTGTTTGCACAAATCTGTGATGGCTTTGCATATAACAGATCTAAATCTATTTTTATTTGTACTGTATGTGTACATAATTTGGCGTATTCAAAATTTGGCGTAATCACTGTCCGTTCAGTGTATTGTATGTAAATGATTTCTTAGAGGTATTAACGAATTAGCGCATTGCTGTTTATGCCAAAGCTGCTAAAACATGACGCCCGTATTTTAAAGTACACATAAAGTTTTAGGAATGTAGCCTAATATGTATACACATACCATAACTCAAACCCAGTGTATTAACTACGAACAATCCAGAGAGTTCCGATTGTGAACATGGCGAGAAAAAAGTTGAGAAAATTAGTTGAATTTTCGTCTATATAAGGATTTGTTTCTGGGGAGGTGGAGTGAGATCGTTAAAAGGCATATTACAATCTCAGAAGGTATGAAGGGGGTTGTCTCAGATTTTTTTTCCGGAGAACAGTCTTCTGTAAGTTGAAGTTTGAATATGTAAATTTTATATGGACACTGCATGCCCCATCCCCACTGGACAACTACAGGGAAATATTTCCGCAAAATCAGACAAACTGAAGTCATACTCAAAACTATACCCTACCCCCATTTTCTTCAAGATGAGTATTCAAATATGGGTTAAAAATAAAAAAATATTTTAATGTATAATTATCTTTATATCAATAAAAGAACAAAGAGGATGTGTGAACAAGGCTACATGCCTTACAGTGCGTCGAACTTGTAGGTGAAAATTGAATCTCAATTATAACAAAATTTTCTCGTAACACTGACGTATACTTTATGTAAAAACTCCACAATTTCTAAAAATCTTATAAAAGATTGTTTTGTCTGTTGTTTAATGTCTCTTTCAAGTGGCTTCTACTCATATGAAGACGCCTACAGGTGCCCGTGGTGAGCTGCAAATTTGATCCTGTACTCGACACTCATCATTTCATGGCCATTGAGCAGGGAGGGATCTTTTTCGTGCTTACTCCTACTGCTACTCGGGACCTCGGATTAAACGGTCTCAGCATTAGTATTCATTCGAACCCGCAATCAACTCCTAAATTTGCGACTCTTAGAGCAGACGTTCTAACCACTGGGCCATGCAGGTGGCATTAAAGAGATTGGATTTTTTTCCTTTGAAATATAATTCACACACTAAAGAGGAAAAAAGGATTTTTAATATTATAACATACATTTTAGTATTAATGGATCATCGTTCTATTTCATGGCCTTGCCCAATGATCACAAAGGATAAGATATTTCAGATGAATACATGTGAACTCCTCGAGTTGGTAACATACAGATGGGGTTTGCTTATAACCAACTGCAGAGTGAGTCATATCTTGACGGAGGGTCATTAGTACAAGTTCAAGGTCACTATCAGAAGAGCTGTACATTCCTTTGTTGTTCTCTTTCTACTGCTGAAAAATTGCAAACTGCTACACCTTTGAAGATTACTTGCATCCTTAGCAAATGACATGACCTTGATTCACGATCACTTTGTCCTATTCGCAGTTTCAGTAGACGACTTACTCCTTGTATTGCAGGTTTTATTGTTCCCCGCTTTTGTCAAAGCGAGGGGACATTAAATCCCATTAATCTGTCCGTCACTATGTCCGTTCGTCACGAAAACTTTAAATATGCCCTTAACTTTTGATTTAGTGGAGTTATGACTTTCATATTTCACATGTATATTCCTTGTGATAAGTCCTTTCTTTGGGTGCCACCAATTTTGACCTTGACCTTGGAGTTTGATCGATTTTACACAAAAATTCCAAACTTTTACTTTGGCCATAACTTTTGAACGGTAAATCCTAGGACTTTGATATTACACATATTTATTCTTTAAGGCAAGACCTTCTATTTGCTACCAACAACTTTGACTTTTTGACCTTGACCTTGGAGTTTGACCTACGCTTTAATAACTTCAGCCTTGGTCATAACTTTATAACAGTTAGGGTTAGGGTTTTCACTTATGTAATACTTGTTACAAGACCTTTCATTGGATATCAAGAAATTTCATTTGACCTTGACCTTGGAGTATGATCTATTTTTTAAAACAATAATTTTGGAAATAAATTTTGAACAGTTTGGGCTAGAGCTTTCATACTTTACATATATAATACATGTGACAAGAATTTTTAAATAAACCAATAACTTTGACCCTTTGACCTTGGAGTTTAAAATACCTTTCAAGAATGTATTCTTGGGCATAATTTTTGAACAGGTTTTGATTTAGCAAAGCTATGTCTTTCATATTTCACATATGTATTCCTTGTGACAAGACCTTCCTTTGGTACCACCGAATTTGACCTTTTGACCTTGACCCTGGACTCTGTCCCACTTTTAAACAAAAATTACAAACTTTTACTTTGGCCATAACTTTTGAACGGTGGCTTCTAGGGCCTCCATATTTCATATATGTATTTCTTATAGCAAGACCTTTCATTGGATACTGTATAAAAAAATTTTAACCTTTGGGTTTGGAGTTTGACGTACTTTTAAAAATGTTTAACCTTGGCCACTTTTGAACGCTTTGGGCAAAAGCTTTCAAACTTTAGATATGTTATATACGTGTGGCTAGATCTTTCATTGGATATAAAAAATTTGTCCCTTGGAGTTTGACCTTCTTTTTAAAAACTTTAACCATGGCCATAACTTTTGAAAGGTTCGGGCAATGGTTTTCATACTTCAAATATGTAATACTTGTGGCAAGATCTTTTTTTAAGAAACTAACAACGTTGAGCCTTTGACCTTGGAGTTTGAGCTACCTTTCAAAAAATTATCCTTGATCCTAACTTTTGAAGAGGTGTTGTTAGGGCTTTCATATTTCACAATCGTATATCTTGTGAGATGGTCCTACTTTGGGTACCAATATATTTATTTGCATTTAAGAAAAAATTAATCTTCGCTATTTTGCCATACGGGGTCATCAGTGTTTCACTTCCTTAACTTTTGATTTTGAAGAGATAGGGCTTTCATATTTGACATGTACATTACCCGTGACAAGATTTGACACAATATGTCATAAAAAAATGACACCTATCCACAAAGACACCGAAAGCGG